GGAATTAACCTCAGAAGCAACATCGCCAGCACCGCCGCCAAGCGGCGCGCCGGGTCCCAGACCTTCTACAACAGGTTACGTATAGGGATAAATCACCACCCCCAGCAGACTGGGGCCTTTTTGCGTTAGATTCTATCAAGGTTCTTCAATTTTGGGATAAAATCGCGGGGTTACCCCTCAGAGAAGAGGACACGCTCCTCATTGGGCAAAACATTCGGGCTTATCTGACAGACGAGCCCCTGATGCAGACTACTCCTCTTAGGCCGCGCGTTGATCCGTATCGCTTCCAGTCTCTCGATAGAATCGTAGTTCGACGTAAATGGTTGCCTACAGTACACCAATGCCGCGCACACCACAACACGGGATTCCCCAGCGATCACTATCTTCTCACGTCTTCCCTCCAGGTTAAATTGGGTGCCCGACCACCTACCAACCCACACCCCCCTAAGCTTGAACACAAAGTAGACGAACACACCAGACAACAATTCTGCCAAACCTTTCGCTCCGCATATGCCCGCCCACGAGACAAACCACCAGCCACAACACACGAATATTCCGTGTACACAGACGGCTCCGGATCTAAAGGTCGCGCGACAACGTCCACACCAGCAGGATGGGGGCTATTTATACAACAAGGCCACTCCGAAATAGTTGGACAAGGCAGAGTCAACACAGACTACTCCTCTCCGTATTTCTTGGGAGCCCAGGTAGGCAGCAACAACACGGGAGAACTCACCGCGCTAATGGAGGCTATGCTATATTTCCTGAATGATACGGTAAAGGCGTCCCGCGTCACCATTTATTATGATAGTAAATGGGCAGCCCAAATGGTACGAGGACAGTCACGTCCCAAAAGACACGCCGCCATGGTCCACAACGCACGAAAAATTTACTCGCTTTTGCAAGAAAAATCGCACATAAGCTGGGAATGGGTAAAGGGCCACTCCGGAGTCGCTGGTAACACGCGCGCGGACGAGCTAGCAGAACAGGGTAAAAACGCGAGCCACTCAGAAGGCCTCCGTTACATACAAAAACCACCGGTTCTCCTAGCGGATTTGTCGGAATCACCACCTGACTACTCCTCCACAACCAGCAAGTACCAGAAATTCTTGCAGGCAATCAAAACAGCGGAACAACTCCATTTTCGCCCCAAAGAGCACGTGCCAAAACAACCATGGATATCGCAAGAAACCCTAATCAAACTTGACCAAGCCAAACATCTCAAAACACAGGAAGACCCCACATATTTTGCCTACTACAAGGAAGTCAAAAACAGGCCAGAAACGAAAAAAAGAAATTGGATAAGGAGTCAATTCGGCGAGGATGGCAGGCTCACGCCAAACACGTGGCACGTGGCAAGGAAACTTAAAAAAGGTTTTCAGGAACGCAAACGAAGACTCGTCGTCGATGGCAAACAAATACCATGGTCTAAAACACACGAGGCTTTCGCCACACATTTAGCCACTGTCCAATGGGCTCCCAGTTCGGTCACGGAGGAGGAAATCGAGGCCCTTCACGAGACTACTCCTCTATACCCCCAAGATATAGCAGCACTCCCGTACTTTACGATGGAGGAATTACAGCACGCCCTGGGTAAAACTAGAAAGGGAAGGGCCCCCGGCCCAGATGGATTACGGCCCGACCCCATTCTATTACTGGATCATTACGGGGAACTTAGGCTATTAGACCTCATGAACGAATGTTGGCACAATGTATCGATCCCCCAAGAGTGGAGAGATGCCCAGGTTTTTCTTTTTATAAGGGAAAGGGTGATGATTCCTCCACCGTAAACTACAGGCCAATAGCCCTGCTAAACTCACTGTATAAGCTTTATGCTTCTATGGTGCAGCACAGAATGGCCGTGGCCTATGATGATAGAATCCGTAGCAATCAATACGGCTTTCGCAAAAATAGAGGCACGGAAAATCCATTGTTTATACTTCGACGCCTCCAAGACTACTCCTCGCGCACGGGCATACCATTCCACTGTTTATTCATAGATTGGAAGCAAGCTTTTGATAAAGTAGATCACGCAGCCATGCTCACAGCTACCACAAGATTGGGTGTTCATGAGCAGTATGTCTCCATCATCAAAGACAGTTACACTAACCCCACCTTTCACACAGTAGGCCTGAATGGCGAGAAATCCCAAGCTACTCCCCACACAGGAATCAGACAGGGATGCCCGCTTAGCCCGTACCTTTTCATCATTGTACTTTCTGTCATACTGGAAGATGTAGACGGACGTCTGCGTACCCATGGAGTCCTCACTAATACCTGGTCAGTAGGAAAGCCAGTGTATGACTTGGAATACGCGGACGACACCCTACTATTTGGTATTAGTACAGACGTAGTAGAGGAATACCTGTGTCATCTTCAGTCAGAAGCCTCACTTTACGGACTACTCCTCAACCTAGAAAAAACAGAGTTGCTAGAACACCCCAAGAGACATTCCCCCCCGCCAAGATTTATGGATGGCACCCCCGTCAAAACAAATGATCAGGTAAAATATCTAGGCAGCCTAATCTCCTGGCATAAGCCCACCCTCACTGCCCTACAACACCGCATTGCCCTTGCAAACACAGCTTTCAATAAGTTGGCACATTTATGGCGTAGCAACCTCTCACGTAAAGCCAAAGTCCACATTTTCTTGGCAAACATTGTTCCGGTGCTCTTACATGGGGTAGCCACGTTAACCATGGAGAACAAACACTTTGCCAAGATAGATTCGTGGTTTTTCTCACACCTTAGAAGAGTACTGGGTATCAAGGCCTCATATTACTCCCACATTCCCAATAAGGAAGTCTGGATGCAAGCGGGTAAACCAGTATTGCCTTCGCAAATCGCTCTAGCAGCGCAGTTCAGACTACTCCTCCTTTCTTTGAACGTCTCTCCACAGGAGCCGATGCACCATGTGGCCTTTTCCCCAGGCCTTAAAGACAGAGTCTCCTGCTACAAAAACCATAAGACAGGTCCTCCCCCACCACACTGGTTGTCATTAGTTTTCGGACACGCCATGGAATACTACTCCTATTTCATAGGTAACGACTCCAACTACCAAAACTCTATCCATGGCCTCAAGCTTTACATACACCGCTATAATGACCAGTTCCCTGCCAAACTGCTGGCGGCGCCTACGCGCCAGAGTTCCATCTTTTCATTGTACAGACAAAGCATCGGAAGCGCATGGCAAGCGTAAAAAAGCCATAAACCTCCTACCCCTCCCCCTTATAGTCGTTTCCAGTTTCTTTTCCATTATCCCTATATAACGTACCCTAATATAGCCCCAATATAAGCCCAAACTAAGCCCTAATCCCGAAATCCCTAAACCCTTAACCCTAAATCCCTAAATCCCTAAACCCTAAACCCTAAACCCTAAATCCCTAATCCCTAAACCCACCCCAAACCCTAAACCCTAAATCCCTAAACCCTATATAGCCCAATATAGTAGTTTCCATTTTCTTTTCCATTATCCCTATATAACCCCTATATTACTACATTAACCCCCCCAAGGTGGCT